GAGGGTCCCATCCCCCCACACATTCCGACCACCCGTCCAGAGAGATGGAATCCATCAAAGGGGAACCAAGGCAGATATTCCTCGGATGAAACCATTCCCAGCCAATCGCTCGCGTTCTCTGAAGCACGAGGCTCCGCCCATGGGGGGAGGGGGCGACCTCAGGGGCACATGGATCCCCTCTGAGGGAGTCCCCCCGTTCTGACAAATTGAAGTTACCGCCAACACACGATGGAGGACCAAAGTGGGATCTTCGTGGTGTGCCCGAGACGTAATCTGAGGACCCCCTTCAAAACTTCCATCCAGCACTGGGGGGCCCCTCCAAACTTCCATCCAGCACTGGGGGGCCCCTCCAAACTTCCATCCAGCACTGGGGGGCCCCTCCAAACTTCCATCCAGCACTGGGGGGCCCCTCCAAACTTCCATCCAGCACTGGGGGGCCCCTCCAAACTTCCATCCAGCACTGGGGGGCCCCTCCAAACTTCCATCCAGCACTGGGGGGCCCCTCCAAACTTCCATCCAGCACTGGGGGGCCCCTCCAAACTTCCATCCAGCACTGGGGGGCCCCTCCAAACTTCCATCCAGCACTGGGGGGCCCCTCCAAACTTCCATCCAGCACTGGGGGGCCCCTCCAAACTTCCATCCAGCACTGGGGGGCCCCTCCAAACTTCCATCCAGCACTGGGGGGCCCCTCCAAACTTCCATCCAGCACTGGGGGGCCCCTCCAAACTTCCATCCAGCACTGGGGGGCCCCTCCAAACTTCCATCCAGCACTGGGGGGCCCCTCCAAACTTCCATCCAGCACTGGGGGGCCCCTCCAAACTTCCATCCAGCACTGGGGGGCCCCTCCAAACTTCCATCCAGCACTGGGGGGCCCCTCCAAACTTCCATCCAGCACTGGGGGGCCCCTCCAAACTTCCATCCAGCACTGGGGGGCCCCTCCAAACTTCCATCCAGCACTGGGGGGCCCCTCCAAACTTCCATCCAGCACTGGGGGGCCCCTCCAAACTTCCATCCAGCACTGGGGGGCCCCTCCAAACTTCCATCCAGCACTGGGGGGCCCCTCCAAACTTCCATCCAGCACTGGGGGGCCCCTCCAAACTTCCATCCAGCACTGGGGGGCCCCTCCAAACTTCCATCCAGCACTGGGGGGCCCCTCCAAACTTCCATCCAGCACTGGGGGGCCCCTCCAAACTTCCATCCAGCACTGGGGGGCCCCTCCAAACTTCCATCCAGCACTGGGGGGCCCCTCCAAACTTCCATCCAGCACTGGGGGGCCCCTCCAAACTTCCATCCAGCACTGGGGGGCCCCTCCAAACTTCCATCCAGCACTGGGGGGCCCCTCCAAACTTCCATCCAGCACTGGGGGGCCCCTCCAAACTTCCATCCAGCACTGGGGGGCCCCTCCAAACTTCCATCCAGCACTGGGGGGCCCCTCCAAACTTCCATCCAGCACTGGGGGGCCCCTCCAAACTTCCATCCAGCACTGGGGGGCCCCTCCAAACTTCCATCCAGCACTGGGGGGCCCCTCCAAACTTCCATCCAGCACTGGGGGGCCCCTCCAAACTTCCATCCAGCACTGGGGGGCCCCTCCAAACTTCCATCCAGCACTGGGGGGCCCCTCCAAACTTCCATCCAGCACTGGGGGGCCCCTCCAAACTTCCATCCAGCACTGGGGGGCCCCTCCAAACTTCCATCCAGCACTGGGGGGCCCCTCCAAACTTCCATCCAGCACTGGGGGGCCCCTCCAAACTTCCATCCAGCACTGGGGGGCCCCTCCAAACTTCCATCCAGCACTGGGGGGCCCCTCCAAACTTCCATCCAGCACTGGGGGGCCCCTCCAAACTTCCATCCAGCACTGGGGGGCCCCTCCAAACTTCCATCCAGCACTGGGGGGCCCCTCCAAACTTCCATCCAGCACTGGGGGGCCCCTCCAAACTTCCATCCAGCACTGGGGGGCCCCTCCAAACTTCCATCCAGCACTGGGGGGCCCCTCCAAACTTCCATCCAGCACTGGGGGGCCCCTCCAAACTTCCATCCAGCACTGGGGGGCCCCTCCAAACTTCCATCCAGCACTGGGGGGCCCCTCCAAACTTCCATCCAGCACTGGGGGGCCCCTCCAAACTTCCATCCAGCACTGGGGGGCCCCTCCAAACTTCCATCCAGCACTGGGGGGCCCCTCCAAACTTCCATCCAGCACTGGGGGGCCCCTCCAAACTTCCATCCAGCACTGGGGGGCCCCTCCAAACTTCCATCCAGCACTGGGGGGCCCCTCCAAACTTCCATCCAGCACTGGGGGGCCCCTCCAAACTTCCATCCAGCACTGGGGGGCCCCTCCAAACTTCCATCCAGCACTGGGGGGCCCCTCCAAACTTCCATCCAGCACTGGGGGGCCCCTCCAAACTTCCATCCAGCACTGGGGGGCCCCTCCAAACTTCCATCCAGCACTGGGGGGCCCCTCCAAACTTCCATCCAGCACTGGGGGGCCCCTCCAAACTTCCATCCAGCACTGGGGGGCCCCTCCAAACTTCCATCCAGCACTGGGGGGCCCCTCCAAACTTCCATCCAGCACTGGGGGGCCCCTCCAAACTTCCATCCAGCACTGGGGGGCCCCTCCAAACTTCCATCCAGCACTGGGGGGCCCCTCCAAACTTCCATCCAGCACTGGGGGGCCCCTCCAAACTTCCATCCAGCACTGGGGGGCCCCTCCAAACTTCCATCCAGCACTGGGGGGCCCCTCCAAACTTCCATCCAGCACTGGGGGGCCCCTCCAAACTTCCATCCAGCACTGGGGGGCCCCTCCAAACTTCCATCCAGCACTGGGGGGCCCCTCCAAACTTCCATCCAGCACTGGGGGGCCCCTCCAAACTTCCATCCAGCACTGGGGGGCCCCTCCAAACTTCCATCCAGCACTGGGGGGCCCCTCCAAACTTCCATCCAGCACTGGGGGGCCCCTCCAAACTTCCATCCAGCACTGGGGGGCCCCTCCAAACTTCCATCCAGCACTGGGGGGCCCCTCCAAACTTCCATCCAGCACTGGGGGGCCCCTCCAAACTTCCATCCAGCACTGGGGGGCCCCTCCAAACTTCCATCCAGCACTGGGGGGCCCCTCCAAACTTCCATCCAGCACTGGGGGGCCCCTCCAAACTTCCATCCAGCACTGGGGGGCCCCTCCAAACTTCCATCCAGCACTGGGGGGCCCCTCCAAACTTCCATCCAGCACTGGGAGACCCCAGAAGACGGTCCCAGGCAAGAGCAGTCCATCACAGAATCCTGCTTCCAGGACCGGACAATGGCAGCTCATCATGACCGATTCCCCTACAACCCGACACTCTCCAGTCACACAGACATGACAATGGGAGGACTGTGGCCCTCGGGGGGCATACAAAACAGACATGACAATGGGAGGACTGTGGCCCTCGGGCCCCCTGTGGCCCTCCATCATTAGCACCGGGGGGCGGCGCAGACCAGGAAGGGACGCAACGCTCGCAGTCACCTTCTCCCGGAACATCAATAAATCGAGTTACGCAAATGCTTCTTTTTATTCACATTTCAGAAACTCCGAGAAGAACACACACAGAGACGGAAAATAGAAAAGTTTTGTGGCCCCGGGGCCCGGACACGTGTAATAAGTGCAGCAAATGAGGAAACAACTCGAAGGCTTAAACTGTACAATAAATTAACTGCTATGTCATGAAGAAGGTCCAACCCACGCGCAGGAGCAGCAGGACCACCTCTGGAGTCCTCCCCCCGGGCCCCTCACACGAGGTTCACACTGGCCACCTGCAGGTAACCCTGGAGGAACTGGAGAGCGTCGGCGTTCAGACTCGTGCTAATCATCTCCGGGACCTGCCGAGAAAGAAGAAGACCGCCGTGTTATACCGAGCGTCAGCTCTTCAGCCCAGACACAGGGGGACGCCACCGATCAGCACACGGGGAACACACATGTTAGAGTGTGGCTTCTCCTCCTGGGAGGGCCCCGTGTGATCCGTCATCGT